CACTACATATTAGTGAAAGACAATATATTTTGTTACTTTTTGGGATGCCAAATAACTTGAAGCCACATCAGCTCAGTAGTTCAATGAAACTTGAATATTGTGTTTTCAGGATGTCTCTATAGCCATACTAACCAGTGATCCCTCCGCTCTGACAAGGTGTCTGGTGGTGGCTTCAAAGTTATTTTATTTTTTCAAATCCGATGCTCTTTGAATGTTTTTGATCAGAATTATAAACACGGTTCTTCAGTGTGCTTTCAGCCCTACTTGGCCTCAGGCGGACCCCCTCGGGCCCGACACCACTCTGTTATCAGGTTAATGTGTGTCAGTGACAGTACTGTACAGACCAGGTTTAAAACTGAATACGCAACATAATGCTGGGCCTCGGCTCAGTCCACCTCCACTTCAGGTGTGCGAGTGTGAGAGAAATTACTTCATGTAATGTAAGAATTGTCTGAAACTGTTCAAACTAGCCATATTAAGCAGATTTCAGGTTTTGAGTAGACTTGAGCTGGAAAGTGGACTGAACTGAGCCGTCGTAGCAAATCAGCCAAAGTCGGGACGGGAGAACTTCTGCGTAACGTTTAGATTCTGGCCAGAACAAGGAGGGCCACACGGTTGGTGTCCTGATGTTTTATTGGTTGTCACAACGGTTGTCGTTGGAGGAGGCCGACACTGTGACGTTGAGTCCCTTTTGCTAAAACCATTTAATGCAAATTAAGTAAAACGGTCAGCAAATTTTTATTATTAGACGACCTTTTAATGTTGTGATTCATTTGTCAGTGACCGTCTTTGGTCAAAGATTGTTTGTGAAATTGTCCCTCGGCATCAAACATTTCAGCCGTTGAGCGTCGTCACATTGACGTGAACATTTTGTAATTCAATTAAAGATTGATTTTGCTTTCTAAGCAGATGTCTCGCATGATTTTAAAAGTCTATAAAGTATTGTCCGTTTCAGAACAGGATTTGAGCCATGTATGTGTCGCATGAACGAGGGCCGCTGACTAACATTCCCCCGTGTTTGTTTTTAAAGATGGACGACTTTCACTGGCACCATTTTGTGCTCATCAAACTGTAATTATTTTTGCTTTACATGGACACAAAGTAGCCGCTGAAGTGACCAGTGACACCGACTGATATATTAAACGATGTAAGTTAATGCTGTTCGTGTTCACCAGCACGTGTTTAGTCAAACTTTGGGCTGGATTTAGAATTTTAAAAATCGATAATGGGGTTGAAAAGTTTAACTGAAAGCCATTTTACTCTAAATATCAATTATTGCAGATGTTCTCCATTCATGTGCTGTTTGTCATGGAATTTGCAAATGACAAAGCATTTGCTTATTGGTGTCAAATGTCTTAAAAAGGATCCTGTTTTTTTTTTTTTTTTTTTTGTTTGTTTTTTATTGATTGAGTTCTTCTTGGTTCTGATGGTGTACTTGAACAGACCCTGGTTGGTAGGAATAATGAGTAGAGGCGTTTTAACGGTAAAAACCTGTTCTGCCTTGAAATGCATTTTGTTCAGGACTTCATGTTTCCTGTTAGTGTCGCTGTCTTGTTGAAACCTAATCCGTTTTGTTTTTTAAAGAAGCTTTAGCTCCTGTTGGTTTTTCTTCCAAACATCTCCCAATGTGTGTTTTTGTGGAGCGCCTTCAGTCGTAAAGAGTCCGAGGTTTTAACAAGACAGCAGGGGTGATTTTTGTTCTTCACATGGAAAAACCTACCTCCACCTGGCTGCAGTCTGGCCTTTTTTTTTTTTTTTTTTTTTTTTTTTTATTTTTTTTATAAAAAATTTTTTTTTTTTTTTTTTTTTTTTTTTTTTAAAGAAAATTTTTTTTTTTTTTTTTTTTTAAAAAATTTTTTTTCTTTCTTTTTTTTTTTTTTTTTTTTGAATTTGAGGATTGTAAAGAAATGTTATTCTTTACCAAGCAGCACTTTTTTAAATATTGATGTAATTAAAGAATGAATGAGAGCTGGAAGTCTGTGGTTTAATTGTGCGTGCACATGCACACACCCCCCCCATTGAATGTACAGAGTGACATAAAGAAAAGGAAGTTGTTTTATATATTTTAATGTAATTATACACTTACTAAAACTCGTACTGTTAAGTGAGACATAAATGTAAAGATTGTAATACATCACTTTCAAATCTCTAGAAAACATCAATTAAATCAGAACAATGAATAAGGATTTAAGTGTTTATATACGTGTGTATATATATTACATATTTTACAAAAAAAATATTCCCATACAACTAAACTGCACCCAAAAGTGTCGGAACTATATATAGAAACATAACTAAAGAATGCAACAAAAGCACTTCATTGAGTTCAGTCAACAAAGCTACTTTAAGTTTACTGAAACACTTCATAGTTTGCTCTGAAATGAACACGAGATTGAAACAAAGGCAATGAAACTACGTATTTAGGTTTGGCTTAAAATTACCACGAAATTGAAATAAATAAAAACAGAAGTACTTTATTCTTGGTGGAGAAGCAGGTGGGCCAGGAAATAAAATTGGTCGATTTGTAAGCATAACCTGTCGGAGCTAGTGGGCTAACGATAGCATTCTACAATTTGTAAATTATACAGCAGAACCCCTCCTTTATATATATACAGTATATGTATATGTTGCCATGAAGGTTATGAAACATCAACACATCGTGATATTCTGAACGAGAGGTCAATCCCGTCTTCTCAGCTGGCCAGACTTCAACACATTTCAGTCCAGACCACATTATGAGAAATCCACAGTCCTCGTTTTGTGTAACAAAAACAAACAAACCTTTACGCACCTGTCAGCCTCCGCCGCCCCTCCCAGGTGTACTGATATGTGAATGTTTTCTCAGGGCAAAGTGTGAGGCCGCAGCGGGCAGGTGAGTTGTGCAACCTGAACTCAGTCCATGTGTCCCGGTATGCATGTGAACATGTGCCAGTTATGTAGTGCTTGTGTGTGTTATAACTATGTTATCTCATTCTTGTGCGGCGTAGGCGTTTCTCTTAAACTCACTTCCGGAAAGACGTTCAGTTTAACGACCAGAACTTCAGTGTTCAAATATCTTCTGATAAAACAAGACAGAGTTGCCAGATCAGATTGTCTGTTTCACAACTCAAAAACAATTCAATAAACATTACAAAAATTACAACCTTGCAAAAAAAGGTGCTGCTTTCATCAACTTATCCAAGGTGCTTGGCAGAGGTTGCGGCAAGCACCAAAACCTGCGCGCTGCCTACATTGCCAATGAAAATTCATGTCAATCTAATATTTTCTCTAATTAAATGAGTCAACAATAAAAAGTTTACTGAATTATTTTTCTGGGTTTTTAACCATGAAATAACAGCATGTTTGGTCACACAATGTTTTCAATACTATGTTGACAAAAAAATCCCAAATTTCATCTACCAGCTAAATTTTATCAGAAGTTGCCCAATTGGACTGAAACCAGCCCAATCTGGCAACACAAGCAAGATAAAAGATGGGAAAAAGCATGTGGTAACAGTTCTTTAAGTCTCACCGTGTGTGTTTTTAATGATTAGTAATTTGTTTTGGTACAAAGGAAGGTGTGTCTGTGTTTTCTGATATGTAGGTCAAGGCGACTGAGTGGATGTGACTGTCAGGTGTTTCCGATAGCATCTAACGAATTGCTTCATATACCATAAGGCCGTTTCATCAGCGAGCGACAGATTAGGTTTGTTGTTTTATGAAAGAGTGCAGGGAGAGGCCTGATAGTGACTGTGCTGAATACACACAAACACACACTTATCTCAGTATGTTACAACATGAAGTTAGTTTTGTAAAAAGTTTGGCATTAGTTATAGGCGTTCATCTGTGTTTACACTTCTAATTTACAGGCTATAGAGAGGCAAAGCCCCGCCCCTTCTGTTTGACCATATGTCTGAAAAAATATGAACGGAAGTCAATGGCAAGAGACAAAAAATGTGTAGTTTTAATTGTGTCATGAATAACACATGTGATGTTTGTCAATGTAAAAAATTATTTTTATTGTGAAGAAAGTCGCATTCTGTTGTAAAACTGTTGTGAATATGTAATTAGTAAGACGACACACCCTAAAGTCGAGTTAAGTGTGCTTGGTGTGCTTCGTACCAGAATGTACTCAAACATACGAGTTTTGCTCTTTCTTTCGCTTCCCGGCAGATAAAAAGAGTCCCTGGATAAAACACATCGGGTGAGATAACGTTGCTCTTGTGTGTAGATATAGCCAAGTTAGCTAGCGAGCTAGCCAGCCAAGGTAACGCCTGTGGTTGGAGTTGGTGACGTATATTGTGCGAGACGAGAGACGTAGTTCCAAACTAAATGGTAACACGATACATTTATGACAAACTGCGATTTTTTTGACATGCAAACATTTTTTTTTAAATTGACAAACATTATGTGTTTGTAATTAATGGCACAATTCAAATGGGATCAAAAGAATATTTGTCTCTCGCCGTTGACTACCATACATTTTTTTCTCCGAAATAAGGTCCCATGGGGGACATCGGAAGGGGCGGGACTTTTCACCACTGTAAGTGTCTTGATCTTTTATCACCTTATTGCTTCTTCCCATGTTGTTTTGATAACTGAATCATACAGGTTTTTATTACAGTCAGAGGTCATAAATGTTTAAGAGACTTAACCCATTGACAGCATTGTTATCACCCCACATCAACAGGAGTATTATTGAGTTTATTGAGTTATTAATTTTGACTCAGTCCCACTTTACAACATCCTGCTGTCACAAATACTCACTAGAGCGCCAAACGTGGATTAATCCGCCGCAGAAAATAGTCCCCAACAAATATGTTTGTCCTTGCTAGAAAGAACAATGCCCAGCTGTTTTAGGGGGGGAAAGAATAGAATAACTATATATTTCTGAGACATTTATTTTTAAAAGATGCAAGCAATGGGCTAGAGCTATATATGGCTTCACTTTCTTTTTGTGTCGGGAATTTTTTCTACCATAAAAACTTTATTGGCACTTATTATTAGGGACATAAATTGAGCTGCTGCTCTCTCTGAAGGAGGAAACTACAAATAAAAGCCACGGCCCCAAGGCAGAGTATTTGATTTAGTTAGATTTTGGGTGGAGTGTCACTATACAGTCAAACTCTAACAGACCAAGACCAGTGTGTGTGTGTGTGTGTGTGTGTGTGTGTGTGTGTGTGTGTGTGGGCGTTTTACAGTAGCTTGACTGTGTTTGCTTCTCATGTGGTTCAGTGAACCCAAATATTCTGACTCATTCATTCTGACCGCCACATCATGACAGAGAGAGAGGGAGAGAGATGGAATGGAGAAATGGAAAAAGAATACAAGAGAGAGGGGAGACAAATGAGAAAGAGAGGAGAGGAAAGATGGAGACAAAAAGCAAGGAGCAGAGGACACGAAGAGACAGAGAGAGAAAGAGGAGCCATGAGGCCAAAGTTCGTCCCCCGTTTTTTATTTTCCTACAGTGCAGGAAATAATGACAGAGCCCAGGGAGAAGGTTCTAACACAACTCGGTCCAAACCACACTCTGAATACAGACGCTGAGCCACAACACAACGCACACACGAGTCATAAAAGGAAAGATGGCTCAGAAACAGTTGTTCCTTCACGCAGGAATGCAGCTGTAGTGAGCTACAAATGGTTTCCAGTAAGTCGTGACACAAAAACGGTGTCAAAAATTGTCCAAATGTCCAAAGAAACCACTCTAACCACTGCACTGGGCAATTTAAAATATCCACCGTCCATCAGCACTCTCTGTTTGTTCCAGGACATCAGATTTTGGAGAGAATATGACAAAATATGGCTAAATATAGAGCTTACAATTGCCACGAGCTCCGTTAGCATTCAGCTCCAACTAGCTACGTAAATGCAGATGTGTAACAGAAGTGCTTCAAAAAGTGCCACAATATGGCTAAATACACTTTTGTCATGGCTTGTGGGCATGCAGACTAGTCTGCCTCGTTGTGTTTATGCTCGCGCTCATGCGACCGCGGTGAAGTATCGTTTATTAACATTAGCTTAACATCTCTGCCGCTTCAAAAATCATAAAAGTTGTATTCATTGGTGAAGATTATCTCGCTGAACAAAACTTTTAAGTGTCATGAACGTTATTTTGGAGAGTTTATCTTCTGCAAATATCCAAGAATCCCCTTTTTTTGACGAGGGAACCGGTTGATTTACAGAGATACTTTAATCCCTGCAGCAGTCTCGACTTCTGGACTCGGTGTGAAAATGTCTTGTGTGATAAAAGCGCGCCAATTTTTCTTTCAGACAGCCAGTGTGTGGCAGCTGTTCTCAGTCATCGTCCTCGTCATCATGTGTTCACGCTGAGACGTTAAATCCACATTTAGCCGGGACGTGACTCAGTAGCCGGTAACTCCACCAGTCCTTCTAGCTTTTTCCAAGGCTGACGCAGCTGTCCTACATTCCCCTCATCTGTAACCCATTACCCAGAACCCTTTGCTCTAGTGCCTGGCCAGGAGCTCCCCCGAGGGCCGACAGCCAGCTCTGACGATCCGCTTCCCGTCTGCACGTCACCTGCTATGAGAGTCACGTTAAAATAATGAGGCCATTATATCAGCGCTGCGTCACGAGCACGAGATCCTGATCCGGGCTGGCTGGCACTGTGTGTGTGCGCGTGTGTGTGTGTGTGCGTAGCCTGCAGCGATGCCAAGAAAGTTTAAATGTGTGTCTGTTTGCTGTGTGTGTGCTTTTCTTTGTGTCTCTGTGTGCAGTCATCCTTGTTAAACTAGTTCCCAGAGAAAATGTATGTAATTTGCTGCTAGCTTGTTCTGAGGTAAAAAAAAAAAGGTTTCACATTCAAACAGAGCCAAATGTATAAATACTGTGCACTTATTACACTTGTTTGGCACTTTTCTACAGAAGTTGATGTGCGTAAGAACGTTTTTGCCGTAGGTGCCAAAAATGAAGAGAAAATATTAATTTGTGCAGATTGAACACCGGATCACCAGCGGCGTCAGTGTTGGACCCTCTAATGGCCATCAGGGGGCGACTCCTCTGATTGTATAGAAGTCTATGAAAAATTACTAATTTAGTAAATTATGGTCCATTTAGAGTCAAATAGACCATAAAGCAGAGTATGCTTTAGGGCGGGACTACCTTTGATTGACAGGTTGCTACCACGGCGTTGTCTGCTCCGGAAGTTCTACGTGTTTTTATATCTTACAGCTTTAACCCTTTAACAGTTTATTTTTAGTTCATGAAAGTTAAATGTAACATTTTGGACTGCCTAAAGCATTCAGTTGTTTGATGTGCCCTCTCCAGTCACTTCTGGTTCCAAAAAACGACCAAAAACCAACATGGCAGCGGCCAAAATGCCGAACTCAAGGCTTCAGAACTGTCCACAAACCAACGGGTGACGTCACGGTGACTACGTCCACTTCTTGCATACAGTCTGTGGTTGGACCTCACTTAAGCTTTGTTTATACTCTGGTTGTGGCACCGTTTTCGTGAGCCCATATCTCATATTCATGCACTACTTTATCGCCTTTGTACGAGCCCTGTGAAGAAGGAAGTCAAGTATTAAATGCATGATGAAGACACAAAGGTTGAATGTCCTGTAAACAATTTGACTTGGCCGCAAAATATTTACTCAAATGTCGAGTTTTACAAACTCCTGTTTCTAAACAAATTTACCTTCTTCTTAAAATCTTCAGGCATATTAATAGTGCTTTTATTAGTGAACTTTTTGCAACAATACGCGTGCATAGTCGCCCCTGAACTCGTTACGGCTTCACTATGGCGAGTATAAACTAAGTTTAAGTCTTTTGTGGCTGAAAGGGAACAAATCTCTGAAGCCAGGTTCCAAAACCTGGTGAAAAAAAATGAAACCAGAAGAGTGGTGGCAGTTAATAACAGCAGATTTACGCTCACGTAGTTTTGGCCCTGTCGTGTACTTTCAGCGCCCAGTTACATACTAGTTCAAAGCTGGTTTGAGACTAAATGTGTTTGACTTTTTATCTGCTGCTTTTCTACATCAGGAAGTATCCATTGAACTAAGGACCCTGCTCCTTTAGTGTCCTCACTGATCTGATGTCAAGGTTTAAATGACGTAACAGCGGGAGGGGGTGAGCCCTCAGCTCTGGTGTACTGTTATTAATGTCAGTAGTTTGTGTTCGTGAACCGGTTTCATGTGACAGTGTCACCCTGAGTTCGTGAACCGGTTTCATGTGACAGTGTCACCCTGAGTTCATGTGTAAATGCGATCCCAGACGAGGCGGCTACAGGTTTTCACCCGATAGTTTAGGAGACTGGCTGAGTCACACCTTCAGCTTCACTGACCCCCTCCCTCCCCTTCGTCCTACTGACGTGTGAAAGTGGTCTCGGTCAAACCATCGACGCCCCATTAGCATGCTAAAGGAAGCGGCTAACTGTCTCTCTCACACATTTGCATTCTCTCTGCTCTGGATCGTTGGATCGTTGCTGTGAGGTGCAGGAGACTCCGTAGAGTCTGCTTCCTAAAACTCTGACGTGACTGGTGTCATGTGAACAGCTTTGAAGATGAAATCAGAGTGAGCGTAACTACATTCACACTGCTGCTTATAATTAAAACTGGAAAGGATTATTTTGAATCTTGAATCATAGAGAAGTTTTCAAACCCCAGGCCTCAACTGTAGACGGTGTGATCTAATAAACACCTGCAGACAGGTATAATAAGATCATGCAGCAGAGCCAGAGGCCTAGTCCACACAAGCACGGTTTTTAAAAAAACACAGATGTTGCGTTGGATGAGTAGCCTCTGTTCCTGACTATGGTGGAAGAGTAACTGTGTATTTATGTATAAACATGAAGAAAGTTATGCAGGGTATTTGGCCACATCAGCTGTTCATGGACGTATTCACGCTGCCGTTGCACAACATGACCGACGCCTCACAAAGGAGATAACGGCGCCCACTCGGACGTTGCAAGCCAAAAACTCAACACGGAAAATTAAGTTGGTGCGGTTTGGGTGTGCCCGAAAGGTCAAAGTGCATTGAAATAGCTACAAAAACACACGCGTGAACCATAGACTGTATAAGAAGTGGGCATAGTCATCGTGACGTCACCCGTTGGTTTGTGGACGGCCATTTTGAAGCCTCGAGTTCGGTAATTTCACCGTCGCCACTTTGAATTATGGTCGATGCCATGTTGTTTTTGCAGCCAATGAACTGAAGTTACCATATTTGGAATGAGGAGGAGTGACGTAGAGACGCCGTATATGTCTCTGGTAGCAACCTGTCAATCACAGTGAGCCCCGCCCTAAAGCATACCCTGCTTTATGGTCTATTTGACTCAAAATTTACCATAATTTACTAAATGAACATCATGCTGTATTGAAGAAGACTTGCAACTAGAGATTGAGACCATAAACTCATGAAATTAAAATATTAATTTGACAAAATATATATTTTCATATATATAGACTGTAATATTGACACTATAAAATAAATGTATATGTAAATTGTGATGTAGAAGTGGTATACATTGAAAGGGTACCAGTGAGGTGGGAGTAAAGGGGAAAACACATAGACTGTATATAAGAAGTGGACCATGACGTCACCTATTGGTTTGTGGACTACAGTTTTGAAGTCTGGACTTTTTGTCCTTCGCCATCTTGTTTTTTTGCACCCAAAAGTGACTCGAGAGGTCGGAGCTCTCAGAACAACTGAGCGCTGAATAAAGACATTTTTAGGTGACCAAAAGGTTGTGATTAACTTCCATGAACTGAAAACACACTGTGTAAGAATTAAACTTCTAAGACACAAACACAGACAACGACGTGGTAGAGACCTGCCAATCACTGTAAGCCCCGCCCTAAAGCATCTCCTGCTTTATGGTCTGTGTGACTCTAAATGGACCATCATTTACTAAATGAACATCATGCTGTATTGAAGAAGACTTGAAACTAGAGATTGAGACCATAAACTCATGTTTACAATGTTTACTGAGGTAATAAATCAAGAGAGAAGTAGAGTCATTTTCTCATAGACTTCTATACAATCGGACTTCTTTTTACAGCTCCCTCTACATCAACAAAAGGCTTTGTACAACTTTTCTTTCTGATAATATCACTCTTCTTTTTGAAGCATACTTTGAGTTTTAAAATAATGTACCTATTTATACTTTACCACAAGCCCCGGGCCACGCCGTTTGAATGGGACATTATGTTCTTTGTGATAAATCGCTGCACTTTCATGTCCCTGCAAGGTGATTTTCATAGCGTACTGAAAAGAAAGGAGACCGATGGAGAAGATTGTGAAACCGCCTTTATGACTCTAAAACCCCGTGATCTTTTATGATGCCTTCAGTGGATTGTTTAGTCTCACTTAAAGGGAACACTGTGCTCCTCATCCCCATGTGTTGGCAACATGGACACTTGGTAGAGGAGAGTTGAGGGGTTCTGACGATAAATATGACAAAAACTAAAAAACATACAGACTCAGGTGTTTGAGGTCAGGGTGCTGCTGACCGTGCACTTTGATCAGGCTGATTACCTTTATCTGCTTCTTCGCAGAATTGTGGGTTACTGAGTGCATGCAAATGAGAGAGTTCGAGGGGAGGTCCCACTCCGTCGCTATGAGTGGAAAAACAAATGCAGAGTCTTGAAAATTCCCCCATGACATCTGACTTGTTTCCTCTGTGATTTAAATACAGAACGTGTGAGAGAGAGAAAGACAAGAGAAAGGCTTTGTTTTAAGATTCAGGTTTGTGGAAGATTTGGTGGAAGGTTCAGTCATGTGGTGGACTTTTTCAACATCGTCATAGGGAAGGTTGCTTTCATACCTGTATACCTTTATTTGTCCACAGAGGCTTATTCAAAATGAATGAAAGCTGCTTGTCGTATTGACTCATGGTGATGTCATCCTGTAGCATTGGTGCTATTGTCCCACAAAAAACACGTTTACATCCAAAGCGACAAAGTCCTTTAGCACCCGTAGTATTTTATGACGAGAGTAAAGCAGGAAGTCAGGTGACGTTATTATAGAGCGACAAAGTCTGTGTAGGGAGTTTATGTTATGTTCTCGTCAAAGCCACAAGACTCCATTGACAAAAACAGTAATTTTGTCTCACAGAACATGGGAGTTGCTGTTCTGCCGCTGCCTCGATCGGTTGGTTTCTTTGTGTTATTGTTTGACCAACCAAATTTGCTAAATAACACAAAACAAACAACCCATTCGTGGCGTTTTGCCTGAGCCATCCAGACGAGTTTACAAGCTTTAGATATTAGATTATAACTTGTTACCAGCATCAAAATGTCTGGTTGTTGCATGTTCGGTTGTCAGAATCAATATTCCAACAGTGGACTCAGGTTCTACTGAGTTCTGACAGGATCTCAAACGCTTCAGAGCAACAGGTGTTTCAGTTTAACGAGCGACCGTGTTAACAGCTGACTTTCAGCCGAAAAGCGCCCGCGGTTGGAGTGACTTGCGTTAACGGTCGGCGTGGATCGTACACACGGATGAGTACCTATTTAAAATTGATTAAAGGCTTTTACAAAGGTCACCTACATGTTCTGTCCGTGTTGTCAACAGCTGCAATCAGAAACACCAGTTAACTCATCATTTGTTAAACTGAGAAACAGGCAGCATCTTTGGCTGCGAACTATAAAACACGTTGACTATCACTGAATGCTGTGTGTACTCATCATGTCTCGCTGGTGTAACATTGTACTTTAGGTTCCTCTTCCAAAAACGTGAATATACCTGAATAATACCACACAGATCTGGAAAGTCAATTTGTTTGAGTAGCATCGGTGATCTCTGCTGATTTTATTTATTTTATTCTTTATATTTTTTACATTTTTAACACAATAGAACAGTCCCTGACATATGGCCTCAAAAAGAAAATTGCAAAAGAAATGAATAAAGGTGCATGATGAAAATAATGACAGTACTAATAGTTTGGCTGTTAGTGAGTACCTGTCTAATCATTATGTACCTTTACATGCACATATACACAGATATACATACATATATACATCTATCTTTGCATAACCACCTACATACACATACATACTCGCACATCATGCCAATACATATATATTCATACATGTATACATTTTACACATGTACTCAAAAAAGGAATATTAATAGAAATAAAGAAGTAAATGATAAAAAAGTCCTTTAAGAGCTTGACAAGCTATTGAACTCCTCCGTACTTCTGTTGCCACACTGTGTGTGCACACTTTTTATAATTGTTCACAAACTTTAAAACATGAGTTATAAACTTGTGATGTTTCAGAAATGCTTGTTCACATGTTTAGTATTTCTGCACAGTAAAGTCCTGACCTGCCTGACCCTTGAAGGAGTGCGCTTCCCCTTTAAAAGGTCTTTGGGGTCATTTTAACATCTGTAATGTTCGTCAGTTCTAAAGAAGGAAACATTTACTAGTTTCTCTACTTCATTAGCATTTTTTAATTATTGTTTTCATGCCTCTTCAGAGGGTACATTTGATTAATATCTTTTGTCAAGATGCATTTTTACCACCAATTGGCTCCAAATGAAGGGAGATTGATGCCACCTGGGTTAAAGTGGCACTAATTCCAAAGATCCTCCCTGATTGGCCACAGACAGCAGGTGACCGGGTAGAAAAGGTCACGGACGACAGCGAACTGGTTGGTCTGTGCTTTTAGGAAAATGGAGGATTGGCAGTGTTTTGGTTACCTTCAAGTTTTCCTGATTAATTGATTCCAGAGGATCCTAAATAATAAACCTAAATCCCAAACATGCCGTGTTGGTATGTTATACTAATAAATGTCGCACAATGAAATTAAAGCAAAGAAGGAGAATGAAACCCAGATATCAGGGGTTAAAGATGTATGTAACACCTGAGAGGACAAACAAGAGAAAGAGAGAGATCAGTGTTTTCTTGGGGGGGAATTCCTGCAGTTCATGAATAAACATCTGACTCACTGACATGAATCATCACCACACAGCTCAGGACAGAAGAAAGTAAAGAGGAGACGATGTCAGGTGACTGTGTGTTGGAACAGTTCAACACTTGGATGAATGCATGAAACCCTTCGGGTTGAATCATCACTTCAAAGACACAATAAATAACAAAAGTGGGCGGGAAGATCCAGGGAGAGAGCTTTCGGATTACATTGCATTACAGCTCACGGTGCGGTCAAATTAGAGGTAATTAATCCGCTGCTGGAAATAGTCCCAAACAAAAGGCACTATTTCCTCCTGTTCGAGTCACATTTTTGCTAAAAGCTACAACTCCCATTGGCCAGTTGTATATGCACTTAGTTTCAGACAAGTCGTGGCCTTAGACTGGTCTTCCATTGTCGGGTTAAACTGGTCTCATTTAGCCTTCCTCTTGCATAAACCTCA